ATCGTTTGATTCGTCCGCTCCGTTTGGCCGTCGGTCTCCGGGTGGTACGACGAACTGGACTGTAGACTGGTCCCGAACTGCTCCCAGAGGTTTTTCCAGAAGTTGTTGGTAAATTTCGTGTCCCTGTCGCTGATAATCGCTGCTGGTATCCCGTGCAGGCGAACAACGGCTGCGATGAACAGGCGAGTGGTCTCCTCGGCTGAGATCGACTTTTTGCACGCAGCGAAGTGTGCCATCTTCGTCAGCCTGTCAACGACGACCATCACCGCGTCGTTACAAAGTCCATGGTAACCTGCTGCGAGGCGCGATCGGGCGGTGGTATCGGCTGCAATTGACCCGCCTTCCGCTTCCTTGAGCTCTTCATCACCTGACACGTGGGGCACGAGCCCACGTGTTGTTGTACGTCGGTCAACAGCTCCGTCCAGTAGTAGTACCGCTGCAGTTGCTGTCGCGTTTTTTCTACCCCAAAATGTCCCGAGGTAATTCCGTCGTGTGCCTCCTGGAGTAGCAGCTCCCTCAGTAGTGCGTACGCGGGTACCTAGATGCGGTTGGTGCCTGTTTTTTCGTAATAAACTCCTTTAGCTTCTGCCAGTTGCTGTGAGTTTCAAGTCGTGAAAAATGGGTCGGTGCGGTATCCGTGGGTGAATAGGCCTGTTAAAAGTGGGTTGGTTTGAGCGAGTAGGATGGCGTGGAGTTGGGCGGTGGGGCGGGTGAGTGCGTCGGCGATGTTGGAGGCGCCTTTTTTGTACGTTTCCGTGTAGTGGAAGTTGGACTCGAGGTAGTCCAACCAGCGAATCTGTCGCGGATTGAGATTTGGTTGGGCGCGTAGGTACTGTAGTGATCGGTGGTCTGTCCGTACTGTCACGTCGGCGCCAGTCAGGTAACACCGCCAGACTTTGAACGCGTGCACGATCGCCAACATTTTGCGGTCGTGTATCGGGTAGTTGTGTTCGGGCGGGTGCAGCTTGCGGGACTCGTACGCGATTGGCTGGAGGCCGTCCCCGAAATCCTGCAACAGTAGTGCTCCCACAGCGATGTCACTTGCGTCAGTGACGAGCTCGAACGGACGGTGTGGATCTGCGATGTGAAGCACGGGCGGTGAGCACAAAATGTTTTTGAGGGCCGAGAAGGCAGCTTGCTCTTTCTTTCCCTACGTGTACTCAACCCCCTTCCTCAACAGGTCGGTCAACGGGGCAGTCAGCTTCGCCATGTCGGGGACGAACCGGCGCACGTAGTTGAGGAACCCCAAAAAACTCTGCAACTCGGTCAAGTTGTTCGGCGCGTGCCACGCTTGAATCGTCGCAATTTTCTTCGGGTCTATTTCCACTCCTGCAGCTGAAATAACATGTCCCAAAAACTCCAGGCGGTTCTGTAAAAATTCACACTTAGACGTTTTTGTCAGTAGGCGGTTCTCACTCAGTAATTTAAAAACTGCTTCGATGTCCTGTAGGTGTTGTGCTCTGTCAGGGCTGTAAATCAGTATGTCGTCCAGGTATACGATGACGCACTTATCTAAGAGCGGGCAGAAAGCCTCGTTCATGGTCATTTGAAAAGTGGCGGGGGCGTTGGTTAGTCCAAAAGGCATGACGGTGTATTCGAAGGATCCGTATCGTGTTCTGAATGCGGTCTTAGGGCAGTCGGGCGGATTGACGCGAATCTGGTGGTAACCTTCGCGGAGATCGATTTTCGAGAAAACCCGGGCTGTGCGCAGTTGGTCGATCAGTTCGTCGGCTCGTGGGATGGGGTAACGGGATTTGATGGTAACACTGTTCAGTTTTCTGTAATCTATGCACATGCGAAATCCCCCGTCTTTTTTCGGTGTGAACAATATCGGTGCTGCGAAGGGCGAATGAATTCCTTCTCGAGCAGGTAATCGAGCTGCTTCCTCAGTTCGTCCAGTTCGGGCTGGGCCAGTCGGAACTGTCGCTGTACTGTTGGCTGTGCCCCCGGTTCTAACTCTATCCTGTGGTCGTGCGGTCGCTGAGGTGGCAGTCCCGTCGGTAAATGTCGCTGTACTGCTTCAACAGTGCTGCCAGGTCACTCGGTACGTCGGCCAGTAGTTTTTGTAAATCCCCTCCTTTGTCTACTGCCTCGACTTCCCGAATGTCGACCGCGTACACGTCAGCTCCTGCCGCTCCTGCGCGTTTCATCGTGATCGCGTTGACACGCACCGACGAAGACTCAGGCGAGCCCCAGCGAGGTAAGGCGATGTTGTTACCGTTCACTCGCACGGTGCAGTCACCCGTCGTCCAGTCGATTCGCGGATTGTGTCGTCGCAACCAATCACGCCCGAGTAGAATATCGGTTTCGTCGAGGGTCGTTGCGAGCATTTCCTGGCTAAATGTGAAGTTACCCCCGCATCGAATCCGAACCCGGTCTACGCGTTCCCGTATTGCCAGCGGCGTGCCGTCTACCAGTCTTGCATCGATCTCAGGTAAGCATTTGTCCAGTGGTAGTCGCAGTTTTCGTGCTGTGGCAGTGTTGATGAGGCTGTGGCTGGCTCCCCCGTCTACGAAGATTTTTACTAAGTCCATCCCGATTTTCCCACTAAGCAGCATGGGGCTGTCTACCGTAGTACCCTCCTTATTCGGCCGGGTGTGGTCGATTGCGTGAAGCGGCACAATCACTCGGTGAGGGTCGGTTGGGTCGGGCGAGCGGCGTGACCTGTCAGTAGAGGGCCCGTCTGCTACTGACTCCCAGCGTTTCCCTGCTGCTTAGTCTGTTTCTGCTGCTCAGCTTCCCCCTTTCCCTTAGCGTTTTCCGGGCATTCGTTCTTGCGATGTCCCGGCCGATTGCACGCAAAGCAGCGCCCTTTGAATGGTGCGGCAGCGGCATTTGCAGCGACGGCACGTATCGTGGTGTTCTCGTTCGTCCCACGAGGCCGATGTCCCCAATGGCTGCTTCCGTAGGACCCCGGTCTCGGTCGGCGGTAGAAGTCAAGTTTCTCCGCCATAGCGAGAATCTCTTGAAAATCGATTACGCCGCGAAGCTGGATTTCCTGAGCGATGTCCTGCTTCAGGCCGCCGATGTAGCGGTCGATGCGCTCGCTCTCGTGCATGTATCCCACATGCTCGCATAGCGCCAGAAACCCGCTCGTATAATCCTGGACGGAGCCGAGTTGGCGCCAAGTGCGGAGCCTCTGTCGCGCCGCGATCGAAGCCGCGTTTGGCTCGAAACGAGCGCGCAGACCTGCACACCACGCGTCCCACGTGCGATACTGGGGCACCTCCACGAAATACGACGGCGCCCAGGGTCCGGTTTGTCCTTCCCGTGTCGGTAGAGTCGCGTAGTCCACCGGCTTCGTGACGATGACGCGCCACCAGTCCATGGCGGGTCCTCGCAGCAACGACACGGCGTAGCGAATCTTCGCCGTATCCTTCGAGACGTAGTTCGCGTCGAAGAAGACATTCAACGTGAAGAGCCACGCCTGAACGGTAGGACCACCCCGCTGACTTGGGTCAAAGCATGGCGGAAGCTGCGGCTTTGACGGCATCGGCGACGGAAGAGTTGATCCGCCTGCCGTCACCGAAATCGTAACTTGAGGCTGCGTTCTGGCCGCATTCGTCGCGTCGGGGTGTGTCGTGCCGTGGTCGTCGTCTCCATCATGGCAGACGACGCCATCACTTGCGGCGCTCGCGGGTTGCCCCACACTCCCGTGCTGTGATGCTTGTGGTGCGGGCTGAATCGGAGTGCCAGGTGCTTGGGATTGTGCTCGTACGAGGTCGTTTTGCAGGGACGAGCGTTCTGCCGTCAGCGTCGCAATTTTCCTCGGCGCTCTCGCGGATTTGTCGCAGCAGATCGTTCAAGTGCTCCTGCGTGAGAGTCGTGGCATCGATGTGTTCAGCCATTTCGAAGGGCGTCGGCTCGTCTTAGTCTAGGCGCAGTCGTGGCTGCACGCGTTTACGAGAGAACGCGAGGACAGCGGCTCGTAGGTGCTAAGGTACGTGAGTCCCTTCGAGTGAAAAATCAAAAGTGGATTTCCTGGGATGCGGAGATGTGCGGTCCGAAAGAAAAGGGCTCTGATAACCAAGTGTTACGGGTGCAATGAATCGAGGTAGCGATGCACTAAGGTGTCAAACGAGTACAAAGATGTGAGCGAAGGCATGAGCGAACATTTATATGCGAAACATGCAAACGGTAACGCGGTGCGTGCGAGCTAGCTAGTGCTATGCTGGCAGCGAGGCTCGGGCTAGTCCCGAAGCGTAGGCCGACACGGCAGGGCCAGCAGTGCGAGGTTTGGCAAAACAGTGCGCGCGAAGTTGGCGAAGTCCCGTTAGCAGTAACGGGCGAACAGAGGTTGTTGCCGTACGCGATGTAGTCGGGCTCCGTAAGGAATGCCAATAAAATTCCTTACAACAAGATAATATTTTATTGTCAAAACAAGTGTTGTAATTACGGTACCAATAAGTGCATAGCATCTTCAAAGACTCACCACACATAAGGATGACAGGTTAAGAGCAAAAACTATGCTGCTGGCTCAGTTAGAATTGAAATAAGCGGATGGATGGCTATACATTATAAGCAGCCGAAACTGCCAAAACCAGGGTTAAAGAAGGTGTGAGGCAAAGCGCTCGGGATTTCCATGCCAGTGGTGGGATCTGCTGACAAACGGAGACTAAAAAATCAGCAATTTGATGTTAACCAGGGTACATGGGGTTTTTCCCTCCTTTGATTCGCCGAGCCAGTTGGATATCTCGAATCACTGGCGCCACAAAATGTGGGGTGGGGGAGGAGAGAGGGAGGGAGGAAGGGAGGAGGAGGTGGGGACGGGGGTGGCAGAATGCACAAGGGCTTATAAGCAGTGAAGAAAATGTATGATGCTATACAAGCTATCTTTCACAGTGCAGTGGGCATCAGCCAGTTGGATGTCTCGAATCACCGGCACCACAGATGTGGGGTGGGGAAGGGAGGGGAGGAGGTGGGGGGGGGAGAGGGGGGAAGGTGGATGAGATTGGGAAAGGGGGGGCAGGGTGTGCGAGGGATCACAAGCAGTGAAGAAACTATCTTTCACAGTGCAATGGGCATCGGCCAGTTGGATGTCTCGAATCACTAGCACCACAGATGTGGGGTGGGGGAGGAGAGAGGGAGGGAGGGAGGAGGACGGGAGGAGGGGGGATGCGGGAGGGGGAGAAAGTGGGGGGCGAGAAGGGGAGGGAGGGAGGAGGGCGAGAGGAGGGAGGAGTGGGAGGAGAGGGGGGGAAGGGGTTATAAGCAGTGAAGTGTAAGCTGTTACACAAAATATCTGTATTAGTGGTCATGAACCAGTGTTATCTCTTGAATCCCACCAAAGTTGGGGCGGGGGGAGGAGGAGGGGGGGGGGGGGGGGTGAGGAAGTTGGGGCGTGACACAAAGCACGAGGGCTTACAAGCCGTGAAGACGGTGTTTGAGGCGCCTCAAAAGGTGAGGAAGTTGGGGCATGACACAAAGCAAGAGGGCTTTTGAGGCGCCTCAAAAGGTGAGGAAGTTGGGGCATGACACAAAGCAAGTGGGCTTTTGAGGCGCCTCAAAAGGCGTGACACAAAGCACGAGGGCTTACAAGCCGTGAAGACGGTGTTTGAGGCGCCTCAAAAGGTGAGGAAGTTGGGGCATGACACAAAGCAAGAGGGCTTTTGAGGCGCCTCAAAAGGCGTGACACAAAGCATGAGGGCTTACAAGCCGTGAAAGACGGTGTATGGTGTTTCACGAAAACAACCCTTGCCTGGTAGTGAGAAACGACTTTTGAGGCACCTCAAAAGAAGAGGGCTTACAAGCCGTGAAGACAGTGTATGGCGTTTCAAAAAAAATAAATAAAAAAAACCCTTCCCTGGTAGTGAGCAACGAAAATGCTTACTTAAAGTAACTCTTTTGGAGTGAATGGCGAGCAGAATTCCGTCTTCGAACAAGCTCACCAGGTAGGCCTCTGCTGCCTGATTTGGGGGGGACGGGGGGGCAAGGGGGGATGCATAAAGCTGTTAGAGTGTATGGCGAGCAGAATGCCGTCCTCAAACAAGCTCACCTGGTAGGCCTCTGCTGCCTGATTTGGGGGGGACGGGGGGGGCAAGGGGGGGTGCATGAAGCTGTTAGAGTGTATGGCGAGCAGAATGCCGTCCTTAAACAAGCTCACCAGGTACGCCTCTGCTGCCTGATTTGGGGGGGACGGGGGGGGCAAGGGGGGGTGCATGAAGCTGTTAGAGTGTATGGCGAGCAGAATGCCGTCCTTAAACAAGCTCACCAGGTACGCCTCTGCTGCCTGATTTGGGGGGGACGGGGGGGCAAGGGGGGGTGCATGAAGCTGTTAGAGTGTATGGCGAGCAGAATGCCGTCCTTAAACAAGCTCACCAGGTACGCCTCTGCTGCCTGATTTGGGGGGGACGGGGGGGCAAGGGGGGGTGCATGAAGCTGTTAGAGTGTATGGCGAGCACAATGCCGTCCTCAAACAAGCTCACGAGATAAGCCTCTGCTGCCTGATGGGGGGGAGAGGGGGGGAGGCAGGGGGCGGGGAGTGTGTGAACATGCTAGTGACTAGTTTCGAGTGTATGGCGAGCAGAATGCCGTCCTCAAACAAGCTCACCAGTTAGGCCTCCGCTGCCTGATGGGAGAGGAGCAAGGGGGGGTAAAACCGGGTGCTCGGGGGAAGGGCAGAAATGGGGGCACGTGGGATAGGAGCAAGGGGGGGGGGGGGGGGAGGGTAAAAACGGGTGCCTTTTGAGTCGACTCAAAAGTCACCTCGGGGTCGAAGGCGGTCAAGGTTCATCGTAGCTGCAAACCTGTAGAAATCATTTAAGCAAAAAGGATCAAGACTGTAAAAGATTGCTCCCAGAAATTCAAGTGGGGGGGTATAAACGGGTGGTCGGGGTCGAAGGGGGATGTGCAGAAATGGTAGACGGACGGTGGAGGGGGGAGTAGGGCAAGAGGGTGGGAAAAGGGGACTGTACAAAACTCCGCCTTCAAACAAGCTCACAAGGTAGACCTCTGCGGCCTGATAAGGGGGAAGAGCAAGGGGGTGTGTATAGTAGAGGGTGGGTGGCTGAGGTAGTGGGAAAGAGAGGTGTGGTGGGTGGGGGGTGGGACTGCTTTTGAGTCGACTCAAAAGCGGAGGTGGGGGGCTGGGGTAGCGGGGAAGAGGGGGTGGGGGGCAGGGAATGTATCGAGGATCCTGTGTGGTGAGCGTTTGACAGATCCCTGATAGCTTTTGTTCGCCCACAACCACCGCACTCACTACCCCCGCACTCCCTGCCACCGCACCCCCTACCACCGCACTCTCTACCACCGCACTCTCTTCCACCGCACTCCCTACCACTCCACACCTCCGCACACCCTATTATCGACGAACACACCACTTGCAGCCCAAGAATGGCGTCAGCGGTCCATCGCACGTCCATCATGGTGAGCGTCTGAGCGATCCCTAATAGCCCTTGATCACCCCACTCCATACCACCGCACTCCCTTCCACCGCACTCCACGCCATCACACTCCCTACCACCGCTTCCCACCTCTTGCAGCCCAAGAACGGCGTCAGCGGTCCATCGCACGTCCATCGTGGTGAGCGTGTGAGAGATCTCCTTGCACTGATGGCAACACAGGGAAGGAGAGGGAGAGGGAGAGAGGGAGAGAGGGAGAGAGGGAGAGAGGGAGAGAGGGAGAGAGGGAGAGAGGGAGAGAGGGAGAGAGGGAGAGAGGGAGAGAGGGAGAGGGAGAGAGGGAGAGAGGAAGAGAGGGAGGGAGAGAGGGAGAGGGAGAGAGGGAGAGAGGGAGAGGGAGAGAGGGAGAGAGGGAGAGAGGGAGAGGGAGAGAGGGAGAGAGGGAGAGAGGGAGAAGGAGAGAGAGAGAGAGGGAGAGGGAGAGAGGGAGAGAGGGAGAGGGAGAGAGGGAGAGGGAGAGAGGGGGAGGGGAAAGGGGGGAAACGGGCAGCGAGGTCAGCAGTCCATCGCACGTCCATCGAGGTGAACGTATGAGAGATCTCCTTGCAGTGACGGCAACAGGTGGGAGGGGAGAAGGGAGGAGAAGGGTGGTGTGGTGTTTGGGGGGAGCTAAGGGGAGAAAAAGCAGCGGGTGGGCATTCCATCGCACATCCATCGTGGTGAGCGTGTGAGAGATCTCCTTGCAGTGATGGCAACAGGTGGGAGGGGAGAAGGGAGGAGAAAATGCAACAAGTGGGCATTCCATCGCACGTCCATCGTGGTGAGCGTGTGAGATATCTCCTTGCACTGATGGCAACAAGGGGAGGGAGAGAGGGAGAGGGAGAGAGGGAGAGGGAGAGGGAGAGAGGGAGAGGGGAAGGGGGGGAAACGGGCAGCGGGGTCAGCGGTCCATCGCACATCCTTTGTGGTGAGCGTCTGGGCTATCCTTGCACTGGTGACGGTGGGGAGAAGAGGGGCACGGGGGAAAGAAGGAGAAAGGCACGCAGGAAGGGCGAAAGGTTGAGGGAGAGTGGGTGAAGGGGCAGTGGGGTTGGCAGTCCAGCTCACATCCCGAAGGGGCACTGGTGTGGGTTTGAGCAGACCCCTTGCACTAGTGAGATCAAGGAGGGGGATGGGGGGGGCCAGCGACGGAAAGGGGGTGGAAGGAAGGTTGAGGGCAATCCGATACTGACAGGCATGAAACAAACGCATTATCGGTCAACAACTGATCTAGTATTATAAATATTATTTGCAATCAGGACCAGTAGCACAACTCAACCAATCTTCCAGCTTGATTCGCGGGCTCAAACCCCGCCTGGTCCTTTTTCACTGTCAAACACCCGAGCTCAATTTTCTGGCGTGTCCATTCAGAAGATATAAAAAGATAATTAAGAATGTTTATTTTTTGTTTTACTGACCACAGCTGTGTTCTAAATGAGATGACTGGCATTGCGAGGGAAAGGGGAAGGAGAGAGGTGAGGGAGGTGGGGGAGAGGGGAATGGGAGGCAGCACAGAAACAGTACCAGAAGGGAAGGGCAGCTTTGGACAATCTTCCTTGCACGAGTTTAGAGATTTATTTCAAATCGACTCAAAATTTTATTTCCTGCATAGGTTTGGGAATGAATCTCAAGTCGACTCAATACTAGCCGCCTTGCACGGGTTTGGAAATACTGAAACTTACAAGTCGCATAAACGGCAGCTTGCGAATGAGAAGGTCCGTGGTTTTCTGGTACCTCCTTGCATGGGCTGGGAGATGATGATTGATGAAACTCACGAGTCGCATAGACAAAACTCACGAGGCGCATGAACGGCAGCTTGCGAATGAGGAGGTCTGTAGTCTTCTGGAACCTCCTAATCTCCATTAGTGCCACTGTTCCCGGCCGGTAGCGGTGCGGCTTGCGCTTGACGCCTGATGGAGCAAGGGAAGGAGAACGCAATAGATGGAAGGGGAAAGGAAGGGGAAAGGAAGGGGAGGGGAGAGGGGAAAGGGGGGGAGGGAATGGGGGGTTAATGAGGTCCGCGGTCTTTTGATACCTCCTGATCTCCATGAGCGCCACTGTGCCCGGCCGATAGCGGTGCGGCTTGCGATTGACTCCTGGCGAGGAGGGGGAGGAAGGGGAGGGGAGGGGGAGGGGGGGAGGAGGGGGGGAGAGAGGGTAAGGAGGTCCGTGGTCTTCTGGTACCTCCTGATCTCCATCAGGGAGACTGTTCCCGGTCGGTGGCGATGCGGCTTGCGCTTGACTCCTGAGGGCACGGTAAGGGCACGCAATAGGTGGGAGGGGAAAGGAAGGGGGGGGCGGGAGGCTGAGGAGGTCCGTGGTCTTCTGGCACATCACAATCTCCATTATTGCCACTGTTCCCGGCCGGTAGCGGTGCGGCTTGCGCTTGATGCCTGGCGGAGAAGGGGAAGACAAACGGCGCAAACAACCAATAGAGGGGACGGTGAGACGTCTCAGAACGAAGGGGCCGGCCTCCTTGCAGGACAACTTGTGAGGCGCGTTAATAGCGAGACAAAACGAGTTTTGAGTCGACTTTTAAGTCGACTCAAAGGCCGCCCTCTGTACAGGACAACTTGTGAGGCGCGATAGTAGCGAGGAAAACGCCTCGGCCATGCATCCAGTAAAAGAACTAGAAAACAGTAGGGCAAGAGGGGAGGTGCGGAAGGTGAGGCGGGGGAGAGAATGGTGTGGTGGGGGAGGAGGGGCGAGGAAGGCGCCTCGACCCTGCGACCAGGATGAGACGGACGGAGAAAAGAGCCAAGGGAAGGGACGGTGAGACGCCTGAGGACCTGCCGCCCTCCGTGCAGGACAACTTGTGAGGCGCGTTAAACGCGAGAAAAACGCCTCGACCCTGCATCCAAGATGAGACGGACGGCATAACGAAGGGGAATCTGAGGAGGGAAGCGGCGGAAGCGAAAAGGGGTAAGGAAGGTGGAAGAGGGGGGGAGGGGGAGGGGGCGGGGGGGGAAGGGGGAGGGGGAATGGAGGAGGGACAAGAACGAAGCATGCGGAACGGGGATTAGAGCGAGAGACTCAGGTCTAACCACTTCACGGCTGTCAACTTGAAAGAAAGTTTGTTGTGAGGCGCCGCAAATCAGACTAGTGGCGCATTTGCGACTGTCTTTCTGACGTGACTTGGCTAGCATCATGGCTGCTAGCCCAACCTTCAGCTATTCGAGGTGACTTTCGAGTCGCCTCAGAACATACTTAGTTTTAATGGCGCATTTGCCACTGTCGTTCTGACATGACTAGCATCATGGCTGCTAGCCAAACCTTTAGGCATTTATGAATCGACTCATAAACCATCTCCTGCTAGCGCAACCTTCAAACCTTTTTTATTCGACTTGTACACCATCTCCTGCTATTCCAACTTTTGGCTTTTCGGAAATCGAGAAAAGAAACTACGGTTTAGTAATAGGCGTTACATCGAAAAATACACCCACACGGTAATCACCTCCGGGCGAGACCTCACACTCTGTTCCGCCCGGAGCGCCTTGAATATTTCAGAACCACGGGCCGCGCTCCGTGCAGGACAACTTGTGAGGCGCGTTAATGGACTCGCTTTCAAAACAGATTCAATTCCAATGGCGCATTTGCCACTGTCTTTCTGACATGACTAGGCTAGCATCATGGCTGCTAGCCCAACTTTCGAACCTTTTTTATCGACTTATACATCATCTCCTGCTAGCCCAACCTTCAACAATTCGAAAATTGGGGAGAACAATTCAGGCAAACCGCGAGGCGCTTACCTTCGGGTGCTCTGGCTGTTTTTTTGGGAGTGCCTTTGGTGGCTTTCGCCGGCGTCGACGTCGCCTCTGCCGCCGCCGCCTCCGCCGCCGCCGCCGCCGCTGCGGCGTTTGCCTTGCTCCGCTTGGGCATGCGCTGTTTCGACCTCGCCATGCTTAGAACGAATCAGAACTGTACGATGGGAATACTGGCGTAAAAAAACTCGTGCTATATAAGGGGCGCACAACTTCCGAGACAGATTTTCCCGACCAGTCTCGAGGGACCAACGTCTGATTTCCAGTAAACCTTAAGATCTTGTTATGAAACTTCCAGTCAACCCTTGAAAGGATCAAAAGATCTCCTCTGTCACAATGCTCCGTCAGAGCAGGGGATTTGCCAGCCGGACCAAACGCCCTTCTCTCCTGATCAAGTCTAAGAAACACAAGACTTTCTATTCCTACGAAAACGTCCGACGGGTCAATCGTATTACAACATCTACGTTTAAATTCTAATCAATTAGCTATATCGCCTGAGCGGTAAGATAAGGATAGGTCCGGTGTATCAACGAGCGACGTGATTGCAGAGTAGGAACGAAGCTGTTAGGCGTTCACTGAGCCTGTGCGTGAGAGGAGGAAACATGAAAGCGAAGAAATCGAAGTAAAGAGCAGGTATGCAAATTGGCAGGGGCGTGCATGTCCAGGCGTGATACGGTTTAGAAGCATATCATTACGATTTAGGACGTTTCGTATGAATTCGACGCGGTCGGAAATTTTTCAAAGATCTGCGCGAAGGTATCTGTGAAGTGGAATGAAGAGCATGGTAAGTGCGTGCGCGAAAATGCAGGATGACAAAAGGTTTAAGCAGCGCGTCGACGGAGATGGAGACGCGTGGCAATCAGGTACCCACTGCCCAATCAATATAGCTTGCGCCCTTCGTAATAAGAGGCAACCTACGTGCGCGCATGATCCCTTGTTCTGAGAGATTCTTACAGGAAGGGTTTGTTTGCGAAAAAAAAAAAACATAGAAACAGGTGTGGCTGTAGATTTGGGATGACTACTTGATACGTTACATATAATTATTTTGTGGGTGTAGGTGCTGTCATAGGTTAATGTTTCTGCTGCAAATACAGTCTGCATAAACATAACAGGAGGATGATTCGACAATGTAAAAAAATAATGAAACGATGAGATTAGAATCGACAAAAGCGTATGAGGGAAAACATACTGAGGGAAAACATACTGAGGTGAACATTCGTACGTTATATCAAGCACTCATACCTAACCAAGGAACGTGGCCCTTGGCCAGGCAAGAAGACATCGTCTAATCTACTTCGGTTTTGTACGAAATTGGGTATGGGAGGGTCCCTATTTATTCTTGGATAGTGCATCGGCTTCAGTTGCAGCAGTTTCTACCGCAGCCTCTGCAGCCTCAGCCGAGCTGGCCAACCCATGGGCTTTAAGGAGTTGAGTAAAAGACTCCACTTGGGTGGCATCAATCTTGTAAGGAGAAAAACGTGCGGACGGGAATGCCCTTGAGGTTACATCCTCTCTAAAAGCGTTCAGCGCTTGTTGAATGGCCTCGCCCACCTGGCCAAATGCTTTGCAGAACTTGGGGGTTACCTGCTCGAGATAGAAACATACACATAAACCTCGTTACAACAATGAAAAAGTGTGGGCATGTAGGAGACAATACGGACGCCCTGAGCATACAAGCAAAGCTCATACCCATCGGAATGAAATAACAACGAAAACTTCAACACTCTGCCACCATACAGCAGAGGATATCATCAGCACAAAAGTTTGACACTCAGAAAGACATGGGTGTCACACCACTTACCTTGGCATGGTGTGGATGTTGAATCATCCCCAGAAGGTCATGGTATACTAGCACCTGGATGAGAGGCAGTCATGGGTGTGTGTGGGGATGGAGAGTAGGAGGATGGTGATCAAGGTATACAGTGGAAGCGAAGCGAATCACCTTGGCATGGTGAGGGTGTTGAATCATCCCCAAAAGGTCATGGTACACAAGCACCTGGATGAGTTGAGAGGGAGACATAAACGCACATGGGGATGGATGGTAGGGAGGCCGAGGGTCCTAATACATACATGCAATTAGCTGGAACCAGAGATAGCCATGCAAGAGGCAGGGGTGGGTGAGACAGGCATGGAAGAGGCAGGCATGTTGAGGCAGGCATGGGTGAGGCAGGCATGGGTGAGGCAGGCATGGGTGAGGCAGGCATGGAGTTGGGGAGGATGTGGGGTGAAGATCAGCGCATTTTCTGAGAAGCACAGAAAAGCGCGTACAACATGAGGGATGTCGACAGCAGCTGCGCTGGCAGCAAAACATGCCCTGCTCGAAATCAGCGAGGGAAACAAAGCAGTCCACTCAGCAAGATGGTACTGAGTCGCACGCACTGCTCTATTTCCGTCACTTACCCATTAGTGAACAACCATACCCCAGATTTGAATGTCGGAAACATGAGAAGCGCCTGTCTATAATACAATTTACCGATGCCTGTGCTGGTGAATGCAACAGCCGCTGTGACTGCCCTGCCACCACTGCTGGCATGCACTCCAAGGCAGCCTGACACTGCCTCACCCTCCACCTCTCCACACCCTCCCCAACCCCCTTATCTCACCCCTTCACCTCTCCACACCCTCCCCAAACCACTTTCCTCACCCCTTCACCTCTCCACACCCTCCCCAAACCACTTTCCTCACCCCTTCACCTCTCCAACCCCCCTTACCCCACCTATCCTCACCTACCCACTGCAAAGCGGCCCTGCTCCAGTGCCGATGGTGGGAATGTCGACAGCAGCTGTGAGTGACCGCCGCTGCCACCACTGCTGGCATGCACTCCTAAGCAGGCTAGTCATGGGTGGGTCGGTTGAAATGGCAATGCCTCACCTGCCCACTGCAGAGTGGCCCTGCACCGATGCCGATGGTGGGAATGTCGACAGCCGCTGTGACCGCTGCTGCCACCACTGCTGGCATGCACTCAAGAACCACCGCGAAGCACCCAGCTTCTTGCAGGGCCTGTGCATGTTGCACGACCTGTGAGTGGGGGGTTGGCACAGTGGTTAGATGGAATGACAAGTCAACTGTCAGCCATTACTGCTGGCATGCACTCCAGCACCACCGCGAAGCACCCAGCTTCTTGCAGGGCCTGTGCGTGTTGCACGACCTGAGGGTGAGAGGGGAGGGAGAGTGGCACGGCGGGTATGTGGAGTGAGTACGTCCGCTCCCAGCCACCACCACTGCAGGCATGCACTCAAGAACCACCGCGAAGCACCCAGCTTCTTGCAGGGCCTGTGCATGTTGCACGACCTGACGGAGAGAGGGAGTGGGAGGAAGTTGAGGGAGGGTGGTTATGTGAGAACACTGCCTAGCACACACCATTCCAACACCAACAAAGCACCCAGCTTCTTGCAAGGCCTGTGCGTGCTGCCCCAGTTCCCACCTCCCCAGTTGCCACCTCCCCCATGTCCCACCTCCCCCAGGTCCGACCTTGAGAGCGAGGGGAACAGACCTGCACTAGGATGGTACTTTCCCTCAGACTGCTGCCCCAGGAACCATCCGTGCAGTTCCCACTTTCCACTAGGTCCCAACATCCTCACATCCCACCTCCCCCAGGTGCCACCTACTCACCTTGAGGGCACTAGCAGCGGATCTGCCCTGGGGGCGAAAGCCTCCCAGCGAGCTGATAGCCTGTGGAGTGAGCCCCACGTGGCCCATCACAGCTATACCCACCTCAGATACCGCCCAGCCCCAGTTACCACCTCCCCCAGGTCTTACCTTGAGCGCACTGGCAGCGGATCTGCCCTGGGGGCGAAAGCCTCCCAGTGAGCTGATGGCCTGTGGAGTGAGCCCCACATGCCCCATCACAGCTATACCCGCCTCAGATACCGCCTGCGCTGCTGCCACCCGCGCTGGTATGCCCCCCTCTATCTTAACCGCGTCCATGTTGCCTTCTTTCAACAGCCGCACTGCACTGTTCACTGCCTGAGGGATGGACAAGGGAAGAATGGGAAGGGCACAAGAGGAAAGAAATCGCAGAAGCATGGTGCATCAGCTGCTGCCACCCGCACTGGAATGCCCCCCTTGATCTTCACCGCGTCCATGTTGCCTTCTTTCAGCAGCCTCAATGCACTGTTTACTGCCTGACATAGCAGGGAGAGGAGGGGGGCGAGAGGGGATAGACTGAATTCCCCCCTCTATCTTGACTGCGTCCATGTTGCCTTCCTTCAGCAGCCGCACTGCACTATTGACTGCCTGAGGGATGGACAAGGGAAGAATGGGAAGGGCACAAGAGGAAAGAAATCGCAGAAACATGGTGCATCAGCTGCTGCCACCCGCGCTGGAATGCCCCCCTCTATCTTAACCGCGTCCATGTTGCCTTCTTTCAGCAGTCTCACTGCACTGTTCACTGCCTGAGATATCAGAGAGAGAGGGGGCGAGAGGAGATAGACTGAATCCCCTCTCTATCTTCTCCACGTCCATGTTTCCCTCCTTGAGCAATCTCACCGCACTCTCCTCTGCCTGAGAGTGCACCAAGGTGGGGGGGTGAGGAAAAGAGAGATAGACTGAATGCCCCCCTCTATTTTCACTGCCCCAGCTGCTGCCACTCGGGCTGGAATGCCCTCTTTGAGCAATCACACTGCACTCTCAACTGCCTGAAGGATTGGGCCGATAGCGGGCTCACGAGAGGAAAGGAAAAGCGTGACACACCGCCTCAGCTGCTGCCACTCGGGCTGGAATGCCCCCCTCTATCTTCACCGCGTCCATGTTGCCCTCTTTTAACAACCGCACTGCACTCTCCACCGCCTGTTAGTGCACCAGGGTGGAGAACTGCATGCCACCCTCTATCTTCACTGCTTCATGTTGCCCTCCTTCACCAGCCGCACTGCTTTGTATACCGCCCGTGAGTGCACCAGGGGTGGGAGGGGGGGAGAAGAGATGAATTGCATGCTCGCCTATAACTGCGTCTGTTCAATGTGGCAGCTTCCCTCTTTCAACAACCACATTGCACTCTCCACTATCTTCAATCGCTACCATCTCTGCTCTTCTGCTGCCATCTCTGCTCTTCTGCTGCCATCTCTGCTCTTCTGCTGCCATCTCTGCTCTTCTGCTGCCATCTCTGCTCTTCTGCTGCCATCTCTTCTCACCTCTTGTGATCTCCTCTCATCTGCTGCAATTTCTGTTCACCTGCTCCCATCGCTCTTTAGCCTGCTCTGATCTCTGAAACATGCTCACCTGCTGTGGGCTCTGCTCGTATGTGCCAAAGGGAAGGTCACCAACAAGCAACGGCCGAGAGGCTCCCCGTGCCACCGCCCTGTGGGGGAGTGACCAAGATACCAACGAGAGGTAGGGAGAGAGGGTGGATGGGGAGGGAGTTGGTCACTCAAGTTTCAACATGATCACACCCATTACAGTCACGCATGCATATATTCATCTGCATTATGATTACCTGCAGTGCGGCAGCATGTCTTCCAGTGTGGTGGGCAGAGTGGTGTCTCATATCCATGCACCACCATGGCTGCACGCATTACTCAACTGTCAATACAATCACACTCGTTACAGTCACACAGGCATGAAATCACATGCAGTATAATCACCTGCAGTGCAGCAGCATGTCTTCCAACGTGATGGGCAGAGTGGTGTCATACCCATGCACCACCATGGCTGCTGAATCGCCCACCAGGCAGATGTCTATGTCCGCCTGGGGGGGTGAATGGGCGGAAGGAAAGAGGGGGAGAAGAAGTAGTGGGGAAAGGAGCTGGGGACGAAACAACGCGCAGCCATGGCTGCAGGGAGGGAAGACGGGGGTTTCACACCACCATGGCTGCTGAGTCGCCCACCAGGCAGGTGTCTCTGTCCGCTTGTGCAAAGAAGCGTGAAGGGGCTTGGAGAGCGGGAGGAGAAGCCTGAGAAAAGAGGCGCAGGAGGAGCAGCTGACTCAGGAAAGAAAGAGGACCACCATGGCTGCTGAATCAGCCACCAGGCAGATGTCTATCTCCGTCTGATATAGGCTTTAAGGGACATGGGGGAAGGGGGAGGGGGGAGGAAGAAAGGGGGAGGGGGGAGGAAGAAAGGGGGAGGGGGGCCGGGGAGCAGGATGAGTAAAGAACGTGGGAGGGCAATAAACCCTGAACCTAGAAAGAAGGAGGAGCACCATGGGTGCTGAGTCCACCAGGCAGATGTCTATGTCCGCCTGAGGTTTAAGGGACATGGGGGAAGGTTGAGCAGGAGTAAAGAGACGTGGCAGCAGCAGATGATTCAGGAAGAAAGACTGGAGATACTATATGTCCACCTGGAAATGGTTGGTAAGATGGGGGAGGGGAGGAAGGGGGGTTGGGGGTGGGTGCAAATGCGGATGGAGGAAAGGTGGTGGGTATCAGAGGGAGGCTAGGAATGAAGGTGCACCACCACCATCGCTGCTGACACCAAGCACATGCATATCCCCACATGCCCACACATCACCATGACTTCATGCCCACCCCACCCACCACTCACCATGTCCACATGCACGGCGGAGGGGTAGTCATAGGCCGTGACCATGACGATCGGCTCGCCCCGCCGGTACTTGCTCCCCACCTGCTGCAGCGTCACCCGCTGCCGCCCCGCCTCCGGTTTCGGCCCGCCATACACCGTGCTGTCTGGAAGGTTGGAGAAAGGCCGACAAAGGGATGGCGCTCTGCCATAGAATGTGGTGTCTGAGTGGTTGGTGAGTGATCGATGAAGGGAGGATGGATGGAGGAGCGTTCTGCTACACGCAGTGCTCTGTGGGAGGCTGGAGGAGTATCGGCAGAGGAAGCTTCGCCCGGGGCTGATGAGGTGAGAGGACTGGTGTTGAGTGAGCGAGGGAGGCGGATGGGAGGAGGATGAGGAGGGGCAGGGTGGCAAGGGGTAGGAGCAGGGAGACGATGCTGGCCGCGCGGATGGCGTGATGGTGGAAGCAAGATGAGGAGAGGAGGACGAAGCAGTGGGAGTGGGGGAGTGGATGTCATGGTAGATGGAGGAGAGGGAGCGGGGTAAGACACGCGGGAGCTGCAGTGGGTAAGGGAGAAAAAGGATGAAAGAAGGGAGTAGGAGAGGGGAAAGTAGCTTGTGACGGATTGGCACAAGGGAGGTGCGATGTCTGCGAAAAAGCGACGAATCCCCATCAGAAAAGGAACTTGAAGGTGACTGTTATAGCTCGCAGACAAATCTGAGCGATGCGAATAGGCTCAATGACCACTGGGAGAAAGACGAGCGTCCATGAAACCAGCAGAAATAAAATACACTCACGGATGGGATCGAAATTCACACCATAGAACGACTCGTTCGGAATAAGTACGTTTTTGGTGAACCAGCACGCACCAGTGCTGACAACACGGCTGGGAAATGACTGGATGGCGTCAGCTGCTGTAGTTGCTGCGAGCGCAACGCCATGACGATAAATGTACCGAACGACCTTTGAGTCGACACGGTCAGGAGACAACGGACAAATGCAAGCGGTGAGAGTTTCGGTCGATTCCGACCGATGAATCAAAAGACGAATTTTAAGAGAGCCCCGGAGTTCCGTTAGCTCGACCAGGAGACGGCGGGCTCGTAATGCAAACGGTGACGGATACGGTCGATTTGAACCGACGATTTTATAGGGAAGCTGCTTAGGAATTTGCGGAAAATGGGCCGCACTTAGTCCGCGGTCGCTAGTGGTAGTCAGATTTCCGTTTCCAGCATCGTCCAGGCGTCCCAGAGTGGCTTAGCGTCCCGCGGCAACACGCATTCGAATGCTCGTGGAGCTTTGTGACGCTAATCCAAGCAGTCTGTACCTCGAGAAAGCCGCGACATCGAGTTCTGCTGGGTTCTTGATTCTTTCTAGGAATCTGGAAATCTGGAAATCTCTCCTGCTCTGGCTTCCCCCACGGTAATTCCAGGGAAATTTTTTGTGCTGTATCCAGAGGGACAAATGAACTGTCGCCAACAGAACAATCGAGCCGAGATCACGAAATTCAGGTTACCAGCTCCTTTTCCAAAGTAGTATGCGAAACGAAATCGGCGTGAACTCCGTTGATCAACCGAAGCACGATGGCTTCGCGAAAGAGCCGTTGCAGATTGCGAATGGCAGCGTCTCCCCTCCCTCCCAATTTTCTGAGCTTTCCTTGGTTCTACCAGTCATGTCACTAGAAAATTAGAGTTTCAGGTGCTCGTCGCTCTTTGCTCCTCACTCCCCGCTCTTCGTTCTTCGTTCCTGACTCCCGCTTCGTTCCTCTTGAAGTCTATTCTACTAGCACGTTGACAATTCCTGGTCTGCGTTGTACCTCGCTTCGGATGTAGGCTCATAAGACACCAAGCCCGACGGAGTTTGTGCATAGGCAATCACTAGAAGGCGCGAACCGTGGTTCACATAAGCAACGGTGTATTGCCGAAAATGGCGGAGCGGGCTCTAACGCAAAGAATAGCCAGCACCGTTGGCGGCTTGATAGGCAACGAGAAGAGATTGCAAGCCGTAAGTAATCTCGTTTCACGGTCTAGGTCGCGACGTCGCTACCTCCTGCAGTCTCAGCCGCTGACGCCTCACATGGCTGGTGTTCCAATCCTCGATATATTTCAAGAAGTGAATCAGGCTTGATGTAGGCGAATCTCAGCCGTTAAAGCCTCCAATGTCTGTCGTCTTGTCGCCTTCAACAAATTCCATTCGTTCAGCTCATATCCGTCATCATTTTTCGTCATCCAAAGCTTTTGTCGTTGGTCGTTTGATGTTGTCGGCTTCAAGAACTTCCACTTCTGCAATGTCCGTTGCGCTTTCCCTCATCCGATTTTCAGCCTGTAGAATCTGGATGACGAAAAGCGATGACCGATTCTTCTAGTTGATCTGATGCACATCCTGAGGCACATCCATCGCATAATGTGCCCTTTCCCCTCCCTCCATGCTCGCCGACTGCTAGCTGCTCCGTGCAGCTGAAGCTGATAGCAGAGGCGATACGCGTCCCCTTTTCCTTCACTCTGCCCTCCCCCTCTCTCCGTCTGTCCATCCTTGTACCCTCATCCCTCCCAACTGATCACTCCACAGGAGATAGAGAGCAGCTCCGTTCAACTGAAGCTGCTAGCTGAGGCGATGGCGAAAGAGGGCAAGATGGAAAGGGTGAGAGGAGAATCAGTTAAAGCATGAGAAGAGAAGGGAGGAACGGGGGAGGGGAAAGGGGGGTGGGGTTTTGAGCTGTAGAAATCAATTGGAGGTGGTAGTGGGGAGAAGAGCACATGGGGTGGACTTGGGAAAGATCAATGCGGGTGGTGGGATGTGTTGCTTGGCTCTTCTGTCCGCCTTCCTCTACCTCTCCTCCGTCTGCATTACACCCTTGGCTGTTTCATTCATACCCTCGTTTATGTTGCACCCTTGTCATTTTCACACCCTCGTTACTGTCACACCTGCAGGTGGCGGAGCTAGAGGCAATGACTCACAAGGTGGTGGAGACGGTTCATGAGATGGCTGAGAAAGAGACAGCTACCATACACTCTCGTTTGTGTCACATCCCTGTTTGTGTGACATCCCCGTTTGTGTCACACCCTCTTTTGTGTCACACACAACCACAGGTCGCGGAACTAGAGCCAATGACTCGGAAGGTGGTGGAGACGGCTCATGATGCGGCCCAGTAAGAGACAACTATCAGTGCATTCTCATTTGTGTCACACTCACGTTTGTGTCACGCCTTCCTTATTGTCACACCCACAGGTGGCGGAGCTGGAGGCAATAACTCGCAAGGTGGTGGAGACGGCTCATGAGATGTCTGAGAAAGAGATAGATAGCTACCATACACTCTCGTTTGTGTCACTCCCCTGTTTGTGTGACATCCCTGTTTGTGTCACACCGTCTTTTTTGTCACACACAACCACAGGTGGCGGGGCTAGAGGCAATGACTCGCAAGGTGGTGGAGACGGCTCATGAGATGTCTCTGCATCAGCAGGCATTGGAGGCAGTGCGCGACAGCTATCAATACACTGGAACAGTAATGTACTCGTTATAAACATGCACTCGTTATCGACATGTACCACTTGTTGTTAGGTTGTGCTGCGTTAGAGAGTAACGGCTCATGAGATGTCGCTTCACCAGCAGGCTTTGGAGGCAGTGCGAGACAGCTATCAATACACTGGAACAGTAATCTACTCGTTATAGACGTGCACTCGTTGTAGACATATACCACTTTTTCTTAGGTTGTTGTGCTGCATTAGAGAGTAACGGCTCATGAGATGTCTCTGCACCAGCAGGCTCTGGAGACAGTGCACGACAACCATCATAACACTGGAACAGTAATGTACTCGTTATAGACGCGCACTCGTTATAGGCATGTACCAGTTTATGTTAGGGTGCATGAGAGAGTAACTGTTTATGAGATGCACTACACCAGCAGGCGCTCTAGGGAGTGTGAGACAGATACTCCCAGTATCAATATGTAGATTCGTTCGTTATCAGGCTGTGCGTTAAAGAGCAACGGCTCATGAGATGGGATGGCGCTGCATCGGCAGGTGCTGGCTGGAGGCAGTGCGGGACAGCTACCACCACTACAGTTTTGAGGCGCCTCAAAACTAGACCAGGTGCTGGCTGGAGGCAGTGCGGGACAGCTACCACCACTACAGTTTTGAGGCGCCTCAAAACTAGACCAGGTGCTGGCTGGAGGCAGTGCGGGACAGCTACCACCACTACTGTTTTGAGGCGCCTCAAAACTAGACCAGGTGCTGGCTGGAGGCAGTGTGGGACAGCTACCACCACTACACTGGAACATTATTGTACTTGTTCTTATAATCACATGTCCCTCTTGCTATTAGGTTGCATGCTCGTGAGATTTCCCTGCACCAGCAGGCACTGCACCACTAGTGTATCGATAACTGTTTCGAGTCCAACGGCTCATGAGAGTGACTTCTGGTCACACGAGCTGCAGCATGCCACGCAACCTGTTCTTCCTTTCCACCCCTCTCCACCCCTCCCCACCTGTCTCCACCGCTCCCCACCCCTCCCCACTGCTCCCCATCCCCCAGCCCACCAACTTTGAGGAACTCTTGCAGCAGCAGGTGGCAGAGATAGGGGCGGCTCAGCCGTTCCTTCCCACCCCTCCCCACCCCTCCCCATCCACAGCCCACCAACTTCGAGGAACTCCTGCAGCAGCAGGTGGCACAGCTAGGGGCGGTACAGCTGTGCCTCTGCACCCCTCTTCACCGCTCCCCACCTCTCACCACCCCTTCCCATCCTCCAGCCCACCAACTTTGAGGAGCTCTTGCAGCAGCAGGTGGCGCAGCTAGGGGCGGCTCAGCCGTGCCCGGAGGATCACCACATTCTGGTGGCGTTCCGACAAACCATCCGGGTGGGTTGTGAACGGTTCAGGGGTACATGGGTGTTGAATAGAGAGGGGAAATGACACGGGAGGTTCAGCCGTGCCCGGAGGACCACCAGATTTTGGTGACGTTCTGGCAAACCATCCGGGTGGGTTGGGAGTGGTATTGAGGGTTAAGTGGGTGTTGGATAGGGTGGCTCAGCCATGCCCGGAGGACCACCACATTCTGGTGGCGTTCCGGCAAACGATCTGGGTGGGTGAGAAGGGGACAGGATGTTGAGATCGTAAATGATGAATCATGGTGTCATGAAGTCATGGTATCATGAAGTCATGGTATCATGAAGTCATGGTATCATGAAGTCATGGTATCATGAAGTCATGTTATCATGAAGTCATGGTATCATGAAGTCATGGTATCATGAAGTCATGGTATCATGAGCATGCCTGCTCCCTCCTCCCTGCTGCCAATTCCTCCGCATGCTTACTTCCCCTCGTCCCCTCATGCCAGAGTGCGAGGCAGGGGGGAGAAGGTGGGGGGGATGATGATGACGAGGACGATGAAGTCATGATGACAACCAATCTGATTGTGAAAAATACCAACTGCCCAATCACAATGCGCCATGTGGAAGAGCTGGATGACCCTGTCTGTTGGTGAGAAGAAATAAGCATTCCTTTCTTTTCTTAAGCCTCCACACTTGTAGATACCTTTTGCTGGCAAAAGAGTTTCTGTATGCGTGCTGGAGAGCATTTTGATTTTGATGGTAGTGGCTGTGCTCTCGGCTGCTGATAACTCTCTCTCTTGCCCCTTTTCCCCCCCTCCCTCCCGGAACCACATCACCTCCCCCTTTCTCCCCCACTCCCTCTCCCCCTCCACCCCCTCCTTTCCAAAGCACATACCCTCTCACCTCTAATTTCCGACCCAAACACCCAATCACTCTTTCCCCTCCCCCCCTTCGCTCTCCCCCCTCCCTGCTCTTCTCAGCTTGGATTGTCGCCACGTCTATGAGAAGAGCGCGATACTGGAAATCATATCCCAAAACAACAACTGCCCTGTCTCTGGTGAGTATTCCCCTCTGAAACTGGTTCTCTAAACCACTTGATTTATTAAAGCAGACGTGTTCAACTGTTATGGTTGCATGAGTCAAACAAACAGTTCTCTGGGTCGTAACTGTGCGTATGTCAACGACTCTTTCTGCCTTTCACCGGTTCATGCTTTCTCCACGATTTGTTTTTACGTGTTTACAGGTTGCCTTCAGAGATTGCGTCGGGACCGCTTGGCGTGTGACACTGAATTGATGATGGCATTAAGGGAGCTACGTGCTCGGAAAGCCACCGCAACGGCAGCACCAGAAGAGATTGATGACCTTTAGTGACATAATCTGTTCATTTGCTCAGCTCTAAACACCACTAGCACACAACTTCGGTATTTCATACATAAAATACTATATTGACGAAGGTTAAGCGAGTGTTTGTCCCCCTTCCGTACGACCTGCAAACGAAGTTGAAGGGCTCATTCGGGTCCATTTCACGTGCTGAAACTAAGGATGCGTCAATTCGAAACGAGGTTTGAAAGTTGTCCGAAGTTCGAGCCTACAGTCGAAACTCACAAATCATCAAGGAGTGTGACGAATTGTGGGTTAATATTTTCGTTTTCCTCGTGCGATCGAGGTTCGGGGATCGACTCGCAGGGCTGCAGTAACTAGAACCAGGTCGAATTCTCCCTCGTCACATGAATGTCCAAATACCCCCTCCGTTGAAGCGAAGTTGATGCTTTGATGTCTTTCCTAAGGGCGCCATGCAGAACAGCTAGTGTCACCGCAGTGCTACAACGAATGGCAGGATGAAGTCGTTACAGTCACACCCTCCCGGCAGCTTGGCGCGCAGCGTGCCGTGCGCAGCCACATTGCGAGAAGCTTCTAGAACATGCAGTTGTCGCACGATCACATGGCCGACAAAAAGCCGTCGCACTGTCTCTTTAGCTAATCGCAGCACGACCACGGGACGCGTTAGAGAAGGCGGTACGACCACTATCAGCAGAGCCGGCAACAGCAGTAGCAGCGGAACCGGCGGGAGCGCGAAATCGGGGAAGAATAACCGAAAAGGCAGAGCGAAGGGCGCAGGAAAATCGGCGGTGACTGGTGCGGGTTCATCGGCAGGGGGCGCGAGAAAGCAGGTAGGGTGAAGGGAAATGGAAGGGTAGAAGGAAGAGAACGGAAACGAGCGAATTGGGAAGTCGAGTGAAAGGGGAGGAACAAAGCGGGCAACTTTTGAGTCTACCTAAAGTCGCGAGGAGGAGATTAGATGTTGGGGGAGTAGGGAGTCGAGACACGGTAGGGACTGAAGCGAGGTAGCGAGTAGGTATTTTATTTTCGAGACTCCTAGATCTTTTAGGCGGCTGCATTTCAGGCGCCTTAGGAATGGAAGGGTTGGGGGAAGCGGCGATGGGGAAAAGAACGTTTTTAAGAGTCAAGAAAGACAAGGGCTAAATTCTGGGTTGAGGAGGAAAGGAATAGAAATGGGTCCAGAGGAGCTTATTCTTTTACAATGCATGAGGGAAGGAAATCATTTATGGGAGAATGCTGACAGAATTTCTAGGGTTTTGAGACTTGGGGTTTAGCGAGGGCAAAGGAGCGTTGCAAAGACAGTAGGAAGCGGATTAGTGTTGAAGGCTGAGCCAATGATAGGATAAGATTAGTAGGGCTCGGTTAAGATTAGTGGCAGGGTTTTTGGACATGGGCAGGGGTTTTGCGAGGGTTTCTCATCCCACATTTTCCTCATCCCACGCACCCCTTGTTCCCACACAATTTGAATGAATTTAATCATATATCCCTCTGCAGGCGAGCAGAAGAGAGGAAGTGGTCGAGGATTATGACTAAAAAAAAAAAAACTAACTACTAATCATCACTCACACTCCTTTGTCGCTCACACCATCTCCTTCACCTTCTGGCAGGCGAGCAGAAGAGAGGAGGCGGACGGTGATGAGAGCGAGGAGGAGAAATTCTGGGGTAGAGGAGGGGGAGGAAGAGGAGGGAGTGATATGGAGGAGGAGGAGGATGACGATGAGGGGGATGGGGACTCGGAGGAGGAAGAAGCGCTGAAGCTTCCCATGCCGAGCCCACCGGCAGGGTTTGTGCTGGACGATGAAGGGGAGGTGGTGCTGGCTGCACCTGCCGAGAGGAGAACGCTCACCATTGTGAGTGTCTGTTGTTGTTCGTGATGAGTGCCATGCCAACCATGTCAGCAGTCCATTGTGGGCGGGGTTTGTGCTGGACTATGAGGGAGAGGTGGTGCTGGCTGCACCTGCTGCGAGAGGAGAACATTGACCATTGTGAGTTTGTGTTTATGGGACTCTAATGTCCGGTGGTTGGAACAGTCAGGTCCGTTTGTGTGGGGTTTGTGTTGGACGATGAGGGAGAGGTGGTGCTGGCTGCACCTGCCGAACGACTAACGCTGACCATCGTGAGTTAATGTGTCGAGGTTATTACTATGTCAAAAATCCACCGGCAGGGTTTGTCCTGCCGGCTGCTCCTGCACCTGCTGAGGTGGAGAACACTCACCATTGTGAGTGTTGGCCTGTGCTGCTGCTAATGCCGTAGTGGTTGGGTAGTCACTAGCTAGTTACCATGTCACCCATGGCAGCAACACAACTGGTCCATCGGCGGGGTTTGTCCTGGATGATGAGGGGGAGGTGGTGCTGGCTGCACCTGCCGAGTGGAGAACACTCACCATCGTGAATGTTGGCCAGCCTGCTCTGCTGTTACTGCTGCTGGGTGGGTACCATGTCACCTTTTTGGCGATTGCACCACTCTCATTGCCCTTTATTGTCCCTTCCACCCCCCCTTGCTTTCCTTCAACATACAGCATGACCCCATCACCACCCGGTCATAGGATTGTGTCATTCAACACGCTTTCTTCAGCATTCGTGTATGCCCTGCTCGCTCTCACCTCTCTCTCCCCCATCTCATCCCATCTGCTTTTGAGTCGACTCAAAAGCAGACTGATTACACGCGATTTTGAGTCGACTCAAGAGCAGACTCATTACACGCGATTTTGAGTCGACTCAAAAGTAGGATTGTGTCATTCATCGCGCTTTCTTCAGCATTCATGTCTGCCCTGCCCACTCTCACCTCTCCCCCATCTCATCCCATCTTCCTCCTTCTTGTCTGCAGCACGATCCCATCACCAACCGCTCATTGGATTGTGTCATCTGGCGCCATGCTTTCCCAACACTCAGTTTCTCGTGCCTTCCCATCTTCCCTTCTCCCTTCCCTGCAGCACGACCCCATCACCAACCGCTCCTTGGATTGTGTCATTCGACGCGCCTTCTCCAACTCGCTTGCCCCTCATTGAACCTCATTGTCCCCTTCTCCTTACTTTATTGATTTCCCCCAATTGTCTGCAGCACGATCCCATCACCAACCGCTCCTTGGACTGTGTCATTCGACGCGCCTTCTCCAACTCGCTCGGCGTCCCCTTCTTCCTTCTGCACCCGCTCGACACGTGCGTTCCGTTCCTCCTCCTGCTTCTTTCTACTGGTTATTGGGTTTAATTCGTCTCTATATGCCTCCCCTGCTTCTCCAACTCGCTCGGCGTCCCCTTCTTCCTTCTGCACCCGCTCGACACGTGCGTTCCGTTCCTCCTCCTGCTTCTTTCTACTGGTTATTGGGTTTAAGTCGTCTCTATATGCCTCCCCTGCTTCTCCAACTCGCTCGGCGTCTCCTTCTTCCTTCTGCACCCGCTCGACACGTTCGTTCCCGTTCCTCTTTGATATTCTTTATAATCAAACTCGCTATGAGACAGTAGCCTCGATACCTGTTCTCCACTTCTCCAAACTCGCCCCGTTCCTTGTGAGGCGATTTTTTAGTGGACTCAAAACCGCCTCATCACATCACATGGGATTATATGCTGAAAGAGTTTTGAGTCGCCTCGATACTTGTTCCCTATATATCCAAGCTCGTCTGGTTCCTGTCGAATTTTGTTCCAACTTTCCTGCCCCACCCTCTCGACACGTGCGGATCTCTCGCCATCCCTCCCCAATCCGCTCTTCTTCGCACTTGATTGCAGACCAATCATGTTCTTCCACATGTCCGGAAGAACAGGCGAGCTGCAAGAAGTGGATGATGAGGAGGCGGAGCGGAGAGGATCATGCCGATTCACCTAGTCTGTTCCTCCCCTTCCCCCCCTTCTCTCCCACCACTTCCTTCCAGCCCCATCATGTTTTTCCGCATCTCTGGGCGAACGGGAGAGCTACAGGAGGTGGATGATGAGGAGGCAGAGCGAATCATGCCGGCTGCCGCTTATGCTCTCGCCAAGAAGAGCCTGCACTTGACTCCCTCAGGGTGAGACTGAAAGCATCTGACCAGAGACCTCGTTTTTGAGAAGAGGTGGATGATGAGGAGGCGGAGAGAATCATGCTGCCTGCTGCGTACGCATTAGCCAAGAAGAGCCTGCACCTGACACCCTCCGGGTGGGGTTACGGGGTAGGCTGAGGTGAGGCTGTAGCTGAACGAAGCGGATGATGAGGAGGCGGAGCGGAACGGATCATGCCCGCTGCTGCATTCGCGTGCATCCGGGTGGACTGAGTGTTGGGAGACAGGCTGACGCGGGGTCGTGAGGTGCGGCTGTAGCTGCTACAGAAGGTGCACGATGAGGGGCCATCATGCAGGTGAGTACGAGAAATGTAGTTGATATATATATATATATATATATATATATATATATATATTTTAGCATTTTCTGTCGTTTTCTTTAGAGAGAGTTCTAAAAACATGACGCCATCATGCAGGTGAGCATGAAAAACAGATGTGATAGAGTTGCAGAGGACCCATCTGCTTCACCTTCACACAGCCGCTAACTCTAATCCCTCTTGTCACCCTTTCATTCCTCCTATTCCAATGTTCTTGCACTCTTCCCCGTCGCCATCCCCTTCCCGCTCCCTTGCCTCCCCCCTCGCAGCTTCACTCTCACCCTCAGATGAACCATCTGTCTGTACCTTCAGTCTGTCTGTACCTTCAGTCAGTCTGTCCCTTCAGTCAGTCTGTCCCTTCAGTCAGTCTGTCCCTTCAGTCAGTCTGTACCTTCAGTCAGTCTGTCCCTTCAGTCAGTCTGTCCCTTCAGTCAGTCTGTCCCTTCAGTCAGTCTGTCCCTTCAGTCTGTCCCTTCAGTCAGTCTGTCCCTTCAGTCAGTCTGTCCCTTCAGTCTGTCCCTTCAGTCAGTCTGTCCCTTGGGTTCTGTCCTTCAGTCAGTCTGTCCCTTCAGTCAGTCTGTCCCTTCAGTCTGTCCCTTCAGTCAGTCTGTCCCTTCAGTCAGTCTGTCCCTTCAGCCTGTCCCTTCAGTCAGTCTGTCCCTTCAGTCTGTCCCTTCAGTCTGTCTGTCCCTTCAGTCAGTCTGTCCCTTCAGTTTGTCCCTTTAAGTTGGATTGGAGCTGCTTTCCTCTCATCGCCCTTATCCTCTCATCGCCCTTATCCTCCTCCTCTTCCCGTACTTGACAACCCCCCACCAATGTCCCTCCCTCTTCTCCTCGCAGATTCACCCTCACCCTTAGAGGAGCCATCTGCTTCACAGAGGATGACGTCATCAACCTGGACACTGGTGAGGTCATGCTGATGTCATGCGGCTTGGGAGGGACATGGGGCGTGAGACGTGTGGCATGGGGCATGGTGCAGGCATTGTAAGGCATGAGTCATGGGCTCATGGGGCTTGGAACATGGGGCATGAGGCGTGACTGAAGTCCAAATAAAAAGAGTGATTTCAAAAGATGCCGATACAGAAAATCTCAATGTTTTGTCTTCCTATCCTTCTTTCCTTCTTCTCACACCCCCCCCTTACACGCGAGACTGCAGAGCTGGGGTTTGGCATCGGGGGATCCCTGGCTGAAGGGGTTGACATCACCACGTTCCTGTCTGTAAGTTCTTTTTTTCTACCCTTTTAAGTGATTTGAGGTGGTTCAAGTTATTTGAAGTATCTTTCAAGAAGTACCCTACACTCGCAACTGCAGAGCTAGGGTTTGGCATCAGAGGCTGCTTTTGAGTCGACTCAAAAGCAGACTGATTACACGCGATTTTGAGTTGACTCAAAAGCAGACTCATTACACGCGGTTTTGAGTCGACTCAAAAGCAGACTCGTTACACGCGGTTTCTACATTGAAAAGTTATTAGCTAGGGTTTGGCATCAGCTTTTGAGTCGACTCAAAAGCAGAGCTGGGGTTTGGCATTAGAGGCTTGTTCTTTCAAGGCGGGGTTGACAGCACCACCTTCCTGTCTCTAAGTTGTGCTTACCCAAGGGGTTGAGCTGGTTCAGTATAGATCTATCCACACGCTCATCGACCCCTCCATCCACCATCTGCCATCACCACCAGGGCGGCCAAGAGTACATGATATACACGCCCTTCGACCCTCTCACGTTTGTAGGAGTGATCCTGCATGCATCTGAGTTTCCCAACCTCACCACGCCCTTTCATCCTCCTATCCTCGCACCCATCTCCCACCAGGGCGGGCAGGAGTACATGATATACACGCCTTTCGACCCTCTCATGTTCGTCGCATACAAGGCAAGGACTCCATCTCACCCCATGCATCACTTGTCGTGGCTGAATGGTTTTTTTTATACTTCTTGTATACTGCATTATGCACATACTGTTGACCCATGCCTTCCTCCTTTCCCCCCGAGCACCGAATGTGTTCTTGCGCTTTCTTCGAAATCAATATTTCATCGTTGCTATTAACGCTCTGATTTCATCATCTCTAAGTTGTAACCCGTTTCTCTTTGATTCAGTTCTTTTGATTGCACATCATCACATTGTCCCCTCCCCTTTATCCCATGACCTCTTGTTCTATTCCCAATCAGGACCCAAAGACTAGCGAGATTCTTGTGGCTGAAGATCCTGTAAGTCCATTGTAGTGTTTCCTTTCTCTTTGTTTTTGCCTTTTGTTGCTTGAATTCATGAAAAGAATACAAGTGTATAGCCACGTCTATATAGGCTCACCTTGATTGCTGTCTGTGCACTTGTTTTATACGCCCAGGGTACACTCATGGCAAATCTTTCGCTCAGAGATGTTTACTCGTCGCAAATCTGTTCATTTTTTAGAATTCTCAAAAACCAAATCTTTCGCTCAGAGATGTTTACTCGTCGCAAATCTGTTCATTGACCTCCTTGACCTCCTTGACCTCCTTGACCTCCTTTCTCCCTCCCTCTCCATCGTCCGTGACTTCACTCTTTCATCCCCTCAGGAGCTTCTAAACGATCCCAAGGTGTTGGATGCAATAGATGAGGAGCAGCAGTTCCAAGCCTTGGTGGTGAGTTGTGGTGGTGATGTGATGGTGTGACCTTGTGCTCTGCTATAAGCACTGTGATGTGGTGCTGTGCCCTGTGCATTGACTTTTGAGTCAACTCAAGAGTCACCTGTGCATAATTCAATCCGTGCCATTAAAGGTGCCCAGTTTCAAGCCGAAGTGGTGATTTCTCCTCTCCTCTCCTCTCCTCCCTTTTCATCTCCTCACCTCTCCTCTCCTCTCCACTCCTCCTCTCTCCTCCTCTCTCCTCTGTCCTCTTCACAGGAGGCAGAGGAGGAGATGGAGGCAACACTGGAGCAGACAGCAAGGCAGGCACCCCTCTGCTTCACGCGTCCCTCCTGCTGTCCCCTTTTTGTGTCCTCTCCCTCGCCCCCTCCTCTCTCCACTCCTTAGGAGGCAGAGGAGGAGATGAAGGCAACACTGGAGCAGACAGCGAGACAGGCACCCTTGCGTTCCCATGACCCTCCTGCTGCCCTCTCCTCCTGCCCTATCCATCCTTTTACTCCACTTGCCTCTTCCCAGGAGGCAGAAGAGGAGACGGAGGCAACACTGGAGCAGACAGCAAGGCAGGCAGCCTTTTGTTCCAGAGAACTCTCCCACGGTCTCTCCTGCCCTCTCACCCTCCTACCCTTTCCTCTGCTCTCCATGTATGTGCTCCCCAGGAGGCCGAAGAGGAGATGGAGGCAACACTGGAGCAGACAGCCGAGGCAGGCAACCCCACATAATCTTCCTGCTCTTTCCCCCCCCTGCTACTGTTCTCGGCCGCCCACTTTTTCCAATCTCCAGGAGGCAGAGGAGGAGATGGAGGCAACACTGGAGCAGACAGCAAGGCAGCCACCCCCGAAGAGCCGGCAGCAGCAGCAGCAGGCACCTGTCAGCTCAAGGAGAGGCCGATAGTTTTCTACAGTACTCTTAGGAATAATAACAGTACACAAGTAAGAGACTGTGGTATTGCAGCGTGCAGGAACTCATGCAAGGCCGATGCATCAGGTGCTTTTCTTGATGTTGGAAGTATACTATATTTTGTACTAATGAACATGGGTTTGCTATGGTAAAAGCAGTGTGACGCATTGATTGTGCGGTTCGGTAAGGTGCTTCTCATTCTAAACCATTCAATTCGATTCAAGACCATAAACTTATGGTAAACTCCTTTGTCACGAATCACTGCACCGACTGATACAGGCAACAGGAGGATTTTCTCCTCTGCACACAGTAATTTGCGCAACTTGCATTGGTTTTCATGCTGACATCATTTGTATTAGTCGACTCAATCCGATATACAGTATGATGAAGCGACGAAATCCACGACGACGCAGCGAATGGCCTGAAAGAGCTCGTCCAACCGCTGCCAGCTGCATGCCGTCTTTACAGCGCCTCAAAGTCGCTCTGGAAAGGAGCTCATAGCGTCAGCGCAGCGAATGTATCTAGGAAGATGCGATGAAATCCACAACGCAGCGAATGCTCTGAAAGAGCTCGTCGAGCCGCTGCCAGCTGGAGGCCTGGGCTTCTTTGAGGGCAGGCAGCTTGGCGCGCAGCTGGGGGAATGAGGAGATTGCTGACCCGTGGATCTGCAGAGGAAGAGAGATACAGGAGAAGAGAAGGGAGGAAGGAACACAGGAACGGCTGAAGTGGAACAGTGCTGTTGTATTGAGTCAGTTAAAAAGGGCTGCTCTGAGGGCGGGCAGCTTGGCGCGCAGCGCAGCTGAGGGAATGAGGAGATGGCTGACCCGTGGATCTGCGATGGGGAAAAAGACACAGCGGGAACACAAAGTCAGAAACGTCGTGCAGATCCCCTTGTGAGGGGCTGTCATCGACCATCTCGTTCGGACGCAGCTCCAGATCCCATACCTTAAACCCTAAACTTCGACCCATAAACCCTGAACCCCCTGAATTACCCTAGCCCAGATCCACACTCCCTAACATGGCCATGCACCCACCGCCAGAAATCGGTGCATCATGGCTTGTAGCAGCTTGAAGTCGCAACTTCCTCGAAGCTTTCCCTCAAGAAAGCACATGAAGAGAGCCACCCGGTTCAGGTCCGCCGAGGAGGGGCTGTCATCGACGATATCGATCGCCCACCTCCCAAACCCCAACCCTTAACCCCTTAGCATTACACATTAAACCCTAAAACCCCTGAAACATAGAGCCCTAGCAGCCCTAGTTCTCATTCCCACGCAACCACGCACGTACCGCCAGGAATCGGTGCGTCACCGCTTGCAGCAGCTCAAAGTCGCAGCTTCCACGAAGCTTCCCCTCGAGGAAGGACATGAAGAGAGCCACCCGGTGCAGGTCCGCCGGGGAGGGGCTGTCATCAACGATCTCGATCGCCCCGCAGCTCCAAATCAACGGCTGACGGCGACATGACCTTCAGCAGAGCCGTAGCTTGGGAGTCTGTTAATAGAAGAGAGAGCGAGGTGGGGAAGAGACAAGGGAAAGCGATTTGAGTGAGATGAGGAGGGAAAGAGAATCAGGAAATCTCAAGATCAACGGCTGACGGGGACATGGATTTCCGTAGGGAAAGGTGAGGAGGGGAGGAGGTGATCGAGTGGGGAAGATGTTGAGATCAACGGCTGATTGTGCTTGGCTTTCAGCAGTGCCATGGCTTGTGGCCTTTAACAAAAGAAGCCACTCATTGAGGTGAGTTTTGAGGCGCCTCAAACAAATCTCACCTCAATGGCTTGTGGCCTGTTACTAATGAAGCCACTCACAGTCCCGTGCATGTAGTGAGTGAGTCAAGGTCCCGAAAATCAACTGAAGATCTATGTCCACCTCAAACTCCTCCAGACCTCCCCTCTGCGAGGTACATCCCCCCAGACCCGTAAATGCCATGAGAGACAAGTCACTCACAGTCTGCTGGCTCGCTCTGTGCTCCTCTTCTGATGGCCCTCATCAGCTCCGTGTCCATTTCAAACTCCTCCAGTCCTCCTTTTTGGAGAGTGAATACCTCAACAGAGTGGCTAGGCTAGTGGGAGACAAGCACCCTCATCTTGGCTAGTGAGAGAGAGAGAGAGACAAGCCACTCACAGTCTGCTGACTCGCTCTGTGCGCCTCTTCTGATCGCCCTCATCAGCTCCGTGTCCATCTCAGAGTCCTCTAGACCTCCCTCCTGTGGGGTGCAGTGCATGCCCTGCCACAGTGTGGCGCATGTGTTACACGACAAACAGCACCACCAAAATCACTCACAGTCTGCTGGGTCGCACTGAGCTCCTCTTCTGATGGCCCTCATCAGCTCAGTGTCCATTTCAGAGTCCTCCAGACCTCCTCGCATCACCCTCCCATGCCTCCTCTTCCCCAACACACCCCCCTTCTTCCCTCCCTCCTCTGCCCTCTCTCCTCCCTCCTCCCCTTCTGCTCCTCCCTCCTCCCCCTCCTCACTCCCCTCCTCTCCCTCCTCCTCCTCCCCTTCCTCCATCTCCGCGTCTCCTTCACTCCCCCATCCAGGCAAAGCACCGCCTGAAGAACCACCTGAAGCACCTGCAACACCATCAGCAGCAGCAGCGGTGCTACCAGTAGGTTCGGCCGAACCAGCCGAGCCGGCAGGTTCGGCCGAGCCAGCAGCAACAGCAGCAGCGGCCTGGGGAGGAGCAAAGTGGATCGCCCCCGAGAAAGTCGGTACGGAGGGGAGGAAGAAGGGCGCCTGCTCAGGCTTCTTGGGCGGCTGAATCGGCCTGTTTCTCTCTTGATCACATCTAGCATCACTAGATTCACCCACTGAGAGCGAGGCAGCATGGCACGGGATATCAGCCCCGGGACTTGAAGTTGAAGCTCCTGGTTCTGCTGTTGGTTCTCTCCTGCAGCAGCAGCAGCAGCACCACCACCACTACCACCAGCGGCGGCGGCAGCAGCGGCAGTGGCGGCGGCACTGGTTTCATAGTCCCTCGCTTCTCTCTCTGCCTCTTCAGCTGTCCAGTGTTCTGCTCTCGTCCCCCCCTCGCTCTTCCCTCTCCCTACCTCACCTTCCCTCCACTCACTCCCGCTCTCCCTCCTCCCCCCTCCCCAGCTATAACCGCCACGTCCCCTGTCCCCCACACCCCTTCCACCCACCCTCCTCCCCTCCTCATCCTCCTCCTCCCCCTCCGCTCCCTCGTTTGGACCAATCAGAATTGGCATCTGGACAGCTGGCACGCTGCTATTGGTCCCGGTGCCGTCAGTTGCGGTGGCGGCAGGGAGGGAGAGGGGAACCGGGAGTAGGTCAGAGTCATCTATCCCAGAATACATGGCCTTGTTCGCCCTGCAAGAACGGGGCATGGAAAGCGGGGGGGCATGTGAGCTGCGAAGTAAGGAGTTAGAGGGGAGCCGGGAGAAGGTCCGAGTCATCTATCCCAGAGTACATGGCCTGTTCGCCCTGAGGGAGCGGGGGGAGAGGGGTGGGGGCAAGGGTGTGGGGATTGAGGGGGGGCAGCATAGGGGAAAGGGGGATATGACAAGAGAGTGAGAGAGGGGAGCAGGGAGGAGGTCTGAGTCGTCTATCCCAGAGTACATGGCCTTGTTGGCCCTGAGAGAGGGGAGGGGAGAGAAGGAAATAAACGTGAGTTAGGGGATGAGTAACGGTACAAAGGGATGGAAGGGGAGGGCAGGGAGGGAGGGGGGAGCGGGGAGGAGGTCCGAGACGTCAATCCCCGAGTACATGGCTGGCCTTGTTCGCCCTGAGTAGATGGAGCAGGGTTGAGCGGGGAAGGGAGTGGCAGCATAGGGGAAACATGGTTTCAGGGTGAGTAATGAATGGCAGCAGGGAGAGAGAGGGGAGCCGGGGGGAGGTCCGAGTCGTCAATCCAAGCCAGAGTGCATGTCTGGCCTTGTTCGCCCTGAGAGGGAAAAAAGGGAGGACGGGGGGGAAGGGATAGGAGGAAGGCATATAGGGAGTGAGTAACGGTACAAGGGGATGAAAGGGAGGAGGCACGGGGAGAAAGGGGAGCCAGGAGGAGATCCGAGACGTCTATCCCAGAGTACATGGCTGGTCTTGTTCGCCCTGAGAGGCGCGAGGGGGGTTCGCAGATTAGGGGAAGGGTGGCATGAGGTGAGTAAACGGTTCAAAGAGGTGAAGGGGGGCAGTGAGGGAGAGGGGAGACGGGGGGAGTCGGAGCGGAGCCGGTTATCCCAGAGAATAGGGGAAAGGCGTATCTGGGGTTGGGATGGATGGTGGCTAGAAGGTCTGATCTGAAGAGGGCGACGTAGAGAGTCCCCACGACAGCTGTCGGCAATCTGATCTTACGCAGCAGTACACCTCCCCAGAATAAGTAAGGCCATTACCAGAGAAGAGATAGATCCCTCGCCGCCGGTTCAGATGGATGGTGGCGCGGAGGTCCGAGGACGGCGGCAACATGGACAGCCCCACGACGACAGCTGTCGGCCTAAAGCCCAAGCCACAGCTGTATTTTGGCCTAAAGCCCAAGCCACAGCTGTATTTTGGCCTAAAGCCCAAGCCACAGCTGTATTTTGGCCTAAAGCCCAAGCCACAGCTGTATTTTGGCCTAAACCCCAAGCCACAGCTGTATTTGGCCTAAAGCCCAAGCCACAGCTGTATTTTGGCCTAAAGCCCAAGCCACAGCTGTATTTTGGCCTAAAGCCCAAGCCACAGCTGTATTTTGGCCTAAAGCCCAAGCCACAGCTGTATTTTGGCCTAAAGCCCAAGCCACAGCTGTATTTGGGCCTAAAGCCCAAGCCACAGCTGTATTTTGGCCTAAACCCCAAGCCACAGCTGTATTTTGGCCTAAAGCCCAAGCCACAGCTGTATTTGGGCCTAAACCCCAAGCCACAGCTGTATTTTGGCCTAAACCCCAAGCCGAAAGACACCTCTGCAGAATCGATAAAGCACTCACCAGAGATAGATCCCTCGCCGGTTCAGTTCAGATGGATGGTGGCGAGGAGGTCGGAAATGGGCGACATGGACAGCCCGCCCCACGACAGCTGTCGGCACCTGGAAGTTGACTTTTGAGTCGACTCAAAAGTCAGCCCCGCGACAGCTACCAGCACCTGGAAAGCGGTCCAGCGGGCGGCCAAGAGCTGCATTTGCTAAAACGTGTGATTACCTGAGCCGCTCTAACCCTTACCAGAGGTATATGCCTCTCCGGTTCAGATGGATGTTGGCGGGGAGGTCGGAAGTGGACAGCCCCGCCACAGCTGTCGGCACCTGGAAGTCAGAACACGTTACACACCTCTCCAGAACCAATAAGGCGCTTGCAGTGCTCACCAGAGGTAGATTCCCCGGCGGGTTGAGGTGAATGGTGGCAAGAAGGTCCGAAGTGGGTGACATGGACAGCCCCACGACAGCTGTCGGCACCTGGAAAGCGTCCAGCGGGCGGCCACTCACGACATGCCACGTGCGCACGGTCAGATCCATGGCTGACGTCAGCAGCCACCGGCCGTCGGGGCTGACCCTCGACGGCGGTGATCCGATCCTCGTGGCCCGGGAACCGCCGAACCAGCCGGCCAGCCTCGGCGTCGAAGATGTAGGTCGTGAAATTCTCGCAGGCGATTGCTGCTAGGTCTGGTGGACCAAAGAAAGCAGAGGGGAGTTGACGGGAAGGAAGGGAGAGGGAGGGAAGGAGAAAAACATTCAATGGTTTGTCACATTCAGCATCAGAAAACCCACATTCAGCAATTGCTTTCAACACTCACCGTTGTCAAATTCACTATCAGCATCAGAAACACCTAATTGGACAAAAAATCACATTCTACAGGACGGCCACATCCATCGATTGCTTTGTAGACTCACTGTTGTCACACCAGACTTCGATAACCACCGAAGTTATACTCGTTACAAGCACACTCACTGTTGCCGTGATGGAACTTCAACTTCACTATAGGCGAGCCGACATTTCACATCGAATCGCAGGCGGCCGGACTTGAGATACCAGACCTGAGAGTAGGGAGGATGGGGAGGGGGAGGGCCAGTGGATGACAAGGGGTGAATGAGGCAATCACAAAACAGGAGTGAAATTCACATTGACTGCATTGCAGCCGACCTGACTTGAAAAACCAGACCTGGCTGTCTCTGCCGCAGCTGATGCTGTGCCCGTTGATGCTGTGCCCGTTGATGCTGTGCCCGTTGATGCTGTGCCCGTTGATGCTGTGCCCGTTGATGCTGTGCCCGTTGATGCTGTGGCCGTTGATGCTGTGCCCGTTGATGCTGTGCCCGTTGATGCTGTGGCCGTTGATGCTGTGCCCGTTGATGCTGTGCCCGTTGATGCTGTGCCCGTTGATGCTGTGCCCGTTGATGCTGTGCCCGTTGATGCTGTGCCCGTTGATGCTGTGCCCGTTGATGCTGTGCCCGTTGATGCTGTGCCGTTGATGCTGTGCCCGTTGATGCTGTGCCCGTTGATGCTGTGCCCGTTGATGCTGTGCCCGTTGATGCTGTGCCCGTTGATGCTGTGCCCGTTGATGCTGTGCCCGTTGATGCTGTGCCCGTTGATGCTGTGCCCGTTGATGCTGTGCCCGTTGATGCTGTGCCCGTTGATGCTGTGCCCGTTGATGCTGTGCCCGTTGATGCTGTGCCCGTTGATGCTGTGCCCGTTGATGCTGTGCCCGTTGATGCTGTGCCCGTTGATGCTGTGCCCGTTGATGCTGTGGCCGTTGATGCTGTGGCCGTTGATGCTGTGCCCGTTGATGCTGTGGCCGTTGATGCTGTGCCCGTTGATGCTGTGCCCGTTGATGCTGTGCCCGTTGATGCTGTGCCCGTTGATGCTGTGCCCGTTGATGCTGTGGCCGTTGATGCTGTGGCCGTTGATGCTGTGCCCGTTGATGCTGTGCCCGTTGATGCTGTGCCCGTTGATGCTGTGCCCGTTGATGCTGTGCCCGTTGATGCTGTGCCCGTTGATGCTGTGCCCGTTGATGCTGTGCCCGTTGATGCTGTGCCCGTTGATGCTGTGCCCGTTGATGCTGTGCCCGTTGATGCTGTGCCCGTTGATGCTGTGGCCGTTGATGCTGTGCCCGTTGATGCTGTGCCCGTTGATGCTGTGCCCGTTGATGCTGTGCCCGTTGATGCTGTGCCCGTTGATGCTGTGCCCGTTGATGCTGTGCCCGTTGATGCTGTGCCGTTGATGCTGTGCCCGTTGATGCTGTGCCCGTTGATGCTGTGCCCGTTGATGCTGTGCCCGTTGATGCTGTGGCCGTTGATGCTGTGCCCGTTGATGCTGTGCCCGTTGATGCTGTGCCCGTTGATGCTGTGCCCGTTGATGCTGTGCCCGTTGATGCTGTGCCCGTTGATGCTGTGCCCGTTGATGCTGTGCCCGTTGATGCTGTGCCCGTTGATGCTGTGCCCGTTGATGCTGTGCCCGTTGATGCTGTGCCCGTTGATGCTGTGCCCGTTGATGCTGTGCCCGTTGATGCTGTGCCCGTTGATGCTGTGCCCGTTGATGCTGTGCCCGTTGATGCTGTGCCCGTTGATGCTGTGCCCGTTGATGCTGTGCCCGTTGATGCTGTGCCCGTTGATGCTGTGCCCGTTGATGCTGTGCCCGTTGATGCTGTGCCCGTTGATGCTGTGCCCGTTGATGCTGTGCCCGTTGATGCTGTGCCCGTTGATGCTGTGCCCGTTGATGCTGTGCCCGTTGATGCTGTGCCCGTTGATGCTGTGCCCGTTGATGCTGTGCCCGTTGATGCTGTGGCCGTTGATGCTGTGCCCGTTGATGCTGTGCCCGTTGATGCTGTGCCCGTTGATGCTGTGCCCGTTGATGCTGTGGCCGTTGATGCTGTGCCCGTTGATGCTGTGGCCGTTGATGCTGTGCCCGTTGATGCTGTGCCCGTTGATGCTGTGCCCGTTGATGCTGTGCCCGTTGATGCTGTGCCCGTTGATGCTGTGGCCGTTGATGCTGTGGCCGTTGATGCTGTGCCCGATGATGCTGTGCCCGTTGATGCTGTGCCCGTTGATGCTGTGCCCGTTGATGCTGTGCCCGTTGATGCTGTGCCCGTTGATGCTGTGCCCGTTGATGCTGTGCCCGTTGATGCTGTGCCCGTTGATGCTGTGGCCGTTGATGCTGTGCCCGTTGATGCTGTGCCGTTGATGCTGTGGCCGTTGATGCTGTGCCCGTTGATGCTGTGCCCGTTGATGCTGTGCCCGTTGATGCTGTGCCCGTTGATGCTGTGCCCGTTGATGCTGTGCCCGTTGATGCTGTGCCCGTTGATGCTGTGGCCGTTGATGCTGTGCCCGTTGATGCTGTGCCCGTTGATGCTGTGCCCGTTGATGCTGTGCCCGTTGATGCTGTGCCCGTTGATGCTGTGCCCGTTGATGCTGTGCCCGTTGATGCTGTGCCCGTTGATGCTGTGCCCGTTGATGCTGTGCCCGTTGATGCTGTGCCCGTTGATGCTGTGCCCGTTGATGCTGTGCCCGTTGATGCTGTGCCCGTTGATGCTGTGCCCGTTGATGCTGTGCCCGTTGATGCTGTGGCCGTTGATGCTGTGCCCGTTGATGCTGTGCCCGTTGATGCTGTGCCCGTTGATGCTGTGCCCGTTGATGCTGTGCCCGTTGATGCTGTGCCCGTTGATGCTGTGCCCGTTGATGCTGTGGCCGTTGATGCTGTGCCCGTTGATGCTGTGCCCGTTGATGCTGTGCCCGTTGATGCTGTGCCCGTTGATGCTGTGGCCGTTGATGCTGTGCCCGTTGATGCTGTGCCCGTTGATGCTGTGCCCGTTGATGCTGTGCCCGTTGAGAGCGTCATTAGCAGCGCCAGTCACCATGCCACCGTGCACCATGCCACCGTGCACCATGCCACCGTGCACCATGCCACCGTGCATCGGGCTGTACTGCATCTTCTCTGACTGGTACGCCACGCGGTGCTGCCTGCCAGTGCTCTCACTCCCCTTGAACCGACCGTCTCTGCTCTCACCTTGACATGCCCATCTCTGCCGCAGCTGATGCTGTGGCCGTTGATGCTGTGGCCGTTGAGCGCATCGACAGCAGCGCCAGTCACCATGCCACCATGTGCCGGACTCTACTGCATCTTCTGGACGCCACTCGGTGAGAGAGGAGGAGAGAGAAAAACAGTTCCATGCTGCCTGCCAGTTCTCTTACTCACCTTGACACGCCCATCTCTGCCGCAGCTGATGCTGTGCCTGTTGAGTGCGTCAATAGCAGCGCCAGTCACCATGCCGCCATGTGCCGGGCTGTACTGCATCTTCTCTGACTGGTACGCCACGCGGTGCCGTGCTGACTGCAGGTGGAAGAGGTGCAGATGACCCGAGGAGGTGCCTACCAGGGCGAAGTTGCCGCACATGCTGGCCGCACACACCTGGTGGGTTGGGCAGGGAGGGGGAAGAGAGAGGGGATGCATTGCTCGCTTCTTCCTCCACTGGTACGCCACGCGGTGCCGTGCTGACTGCAGGTGGAAGAGATGCAATGCAAACCACCCGAGGAGGTTCCTACAAGGCTACAAGGGCGAAGTTGCCACACACACACACACTAGCTGTGCATGCCTTCAATTTCTCAAGCGCCTTAGATCAGAAACACACACGCCCGCTACGCATGCCCATTATTGAGAAGGGAGGGAAAAGGAGGGGAGGGAAGGGGAGGGAAGGGAAGGGGAGGGGAGGGAATGGGAAGGGGGAAAAGGGGAGTAGGGGGGGGGGAGGGGTAGGGAGGGGAGGGGAGGGGAGGGTAGGGTAGGGGAGGGGGGAGGGAGGGGAGGAGCTGATTTATCTAAAAAGCAAAGAAGGTGGCTTTCAATCGTAGAGGGCATCAATCTTAATCTCACTCCTAGAGGGCATGAAGGACCATGTCTAATTGTAATCTTACTCCTGCTTACAGTGGCAGGCGAGGGTTCAATTCCTGGCGGAACCAGCCTCAGCTTGCCGATCACAAAATTCCTCAGCTCCAAAAACGAATGCTGCTGGGTTACCCTCGTGGCAGGTCACCACGTTCGCCCAGTCCCTCTCCCGCACCTCAGCTGAACATAAAGGTATAATGAAGTACAGAGGGGTACAGAGGGGCGAAGAGGGAGTACAGAATGGTCAGAAGTGGTCAACAAGGTGAGAGGTAGTAGCCAGCCTTGTGTGACGACGGTCCAAAGTTCCTCAGCTCCCACACGAATGCTGCTAGGTGGGTTGCCCTCGTGACAGGTCACCACATTCGCCCAGTCACTCTCCCGCACCTCAGCTGAGATGTGGGTACAGTGCGGTAGAGAGGGATGACAAGCGGTGAAGAGGGAGTACAGGACGGTAAGAAGTAGTAACAAGGTTAGAGGGAAGTAGCCATGTGTGACGACATTCCAAAGTTCCTCAGCTCCCACACAAATGCTTACCACCATTTATGCACTGCGGAGCGGACCACCTTGGAGACGTCTCAAATTTCGAGACGTCTCAAAACTCCTCTCAGACATCTAAATCCTCACCTCCCACACAAATGCTTACCAGCGTCAATGCAGACCACCTTGGAGAGCTTTAGCTTCTCCTCCTGAGATTGAAAAAAAGAGAGGTGGCAACGAGGGGAGAGAGGGGGCAGGGGAAGGGAAAGTTGAAGGACAGTGGAAGTTTTTGAATTAGCGAAGAGACAAGCAAAGAAGGGGCAGGGTGGGAGGCACAGGAAGAAGGGATGGGGAACTTATATCAACGCTCGCAACTATTGTGACCACTCAAAACGAGGTGACTTTTGAGTTAACTCAGAAGGAGGAACGATGAACTTATAGGAGTGCTTGCACCATTGGTTTACTGGCACCAACGTGCAAGGATGACGGAAACTTGCCATGCATGCCAACGTATGTCCACACTCCTGTTCTTCCCCCCCTCTCCCCTCCCCCCACGCATCATCCTCTTCATCCTTTCTAATTTTCCCTGTGATAACTCCTTGCTCCGCGTGTAATGAGTCGTGTTTCAAGTCGAATCAAAACACGACTTTTCATCCGTTCTAATTTTCCCTGCGACAAATCCTTGCTCTCCCCATCCATGCATACCAGGGTGGGTCTCGCCCCTCTCTCATCCCTTCACCTTCATCATCATCCTATTCATCCTCTTTTCTGAGTTTCCCTGCAATAAACCCATGCCTTGGTCTATACTTTTGAGGCGCCTCAAAAGTTGGTCCATGACGCCCCCTCATTTACCTGCAAAGGTGTATCACCACTCGGTTCTTTCCTCCCACCCCTTCCCTCACCTGTAGTGAGGTGCATTTTGAGGCGCCTCAAAATGCACCTCACTACACCATGACGCCCCCTCAATTACCTGCGAAGGTGTATCACCACTCGGTTCTTTCCTCCCACCCCCTTCCCTCACCTTCATCATCATTTTCTTCATTCTCTTCTCAAAGTTTCCCTGCGATAACTCCCGGCTTTGCTGGTCCTGGTAGGGGGAAGGAACAGAAAAGGAGGGAGGAGCGTACGAGTGTGAGCTTTCCAATTATGAGTCCAACGCGGGTGGCAAAAAAAAAAAAAAACATGAAGAAGAGCATTCCGTATCCCTGTACAAATACAACCCAAGAAAACAAAACATTAAGAGGAGCATTTGGAATGACATACACATGCGCACACACAGAGAGGCACGCACTCTCACACACAAACTCACACAATCGGAACAAGTACTGACAGAGCAACATTTGCCCGTGCGTCGAATTTCCCGGCGCCTCAAATCTTGTATGTGAGAGAAACTCCTGACAACATTCTTGAACACTTCGAAGCATTTCTGAACGGTGGAGGATGGTATAGAACGGTACTGAAAGCATACCTGAACGGTGGAGAAGATGCGGAAGCTTCTGTCGAGCCCAGCCGAGAGAATGTGACGGCCGTTCCTGTAGTACCTGGCGTTGGGTGGGATGCGGTGCGATGCGGTAAGATCGGGTGAGATCGGGTGAGATGTGATGGTGGTGTGGGATGGAGTGTGATAGGGTGTGATGGGAGGAACGTGATGAGAATGTGGCGTCCGTTCCTGTAGTACCTGATGGTGGGATGTGATGGGGTGAGATGGGGTGAGATGGGGTGAGATGGGGTGAGATGTGGTGAGATGTGGTGAGATGTGGTGAGATGGGTGAGATGTGGTGAGATGTGGTGAGATGTGGTGAGATGTGGTGAGATGTGGTGAGATGGGGTGAGATGGGGTGCCAGAATTTTCAGAAACGATAGCAGCAGGGCGGTTTGCTTTGTACCCCTTGATGAAGCAGAGAGGTTTGCTTTGTACTTACTTGATGCAGCAGGGCGGCTTGCTTAACTTACTTGATGCAGCAGGGCGGCTTGCTTAACTTACTTGATGCAGCAGGGCGGCTTGCTTAACTTACTTGATGCAGCAGGGCGGCGAGCTGTGTCCTGTGCGGGTAGCGCAAGAGACGAGGGTTGTCGTCCACCGAATCAAATATCCAGATCTGATATGGGAGAAGAAGCGGGGCGGGTAGCGGTCGGGAAGGCGTGTGTTGGAAAAGGGAGTAGGGGACACAACGGGTGGGAGAGGGGGAGAAGGTGAGAGGGGAACGGGGGGTTGATGGGGGAGTGGGGAACACAATGGGGAGAGGGGGAGAAGGTGAGAAGGGGAGGGAGGTGATGGGGAGAGAGAGAGAGAGAGAGAGAGAGAGAGAGAGAGAGAGAGAGAGAGAGAGAGAGAGGGGGGGGGGGGGGATTAACAGGGAGAGCATATTTTGACGGGGATGATGGAGACCATATATTAGCAGGGGCAGACCGTCGTGAGCGCCGGGGATGGTGGAGTGCAGACGACGATTGGTGAGGTCACAGACGGCGATGGTGAGGTCACAGACGACGATTGAAGAAGAGAAGGGGTTACGGAAGCGTTAGCATTACCTTGAGGCTGTTGTTGCCCCTGCAGACAAGAGCAAAGGCTCATTGACAAGGAAGGAGAGGGCAGCCACGCGGCCATCATGCGAATCGGGGATAATGGAGTGCAGGCGGCGGTGGGTGGACGGGGGAGAAGAAGAGGCTACAGACAGAGACACTGCAGTGGTCTTCCAACAGTCGCACCTTGAGGCTGTTGTCTGCCCCAGCAGAGAGCAGAAGAGGC